CCAGCACCTACACAATACTTGGCACCCAGTAAGCGCTCAATAAATGTATGATGAATTGAAATTTAATATTTCATGCTTACTAGTGTAGCACTTGAGTCGTCCATGTTTGTTATGCCTGGTTCTCATCACATGACTAACCTACCTCCTTTCCGTGCTCTGTACATGAAATGGTGTCTCTCCTGGTACATCATGCAGCCAAGCCCTTGTTAGTAATACATTACAGAGGACAGAACTTACATTCACCACATATATTTCCTTCGTTCTTTGGGATTCCTGCCATTTTGGTTTTTCCAAGATTGCTGTCTGCCATGGCCTATGGCCATAGAGCATCACTGGCAAGAATACTAGTGTGAAAAGATGAGTTTTTGCAGTATTGAGGAAGTTAGAATCATTAAGAATACTGATCTCCCAATGATGTCTATCTTGATTTCCTCCTTTGCTCTCCATACCCAGCTTTTGCCTGCTTCTGGCACAAATGGGCTATCCAGGATTTCATACAGCGTACATGGAGAGAAGTTGCATATGGTAAGACTGAAAACTGAGTGTGGTGCCAGATAACTGAGGACCTTAAAGGCTTGGAAAAGACGAAAGCCTAAGGAAAGGAGTCTCACCTTCACTTGGTATGCAATAGGAAGATGCTGATGGTTTTTGAGAAGTGTGGAATGAGCAGATCTATGGGCCAAAGAAGATATCTGGCAGATGTATGAATGAGAGATTGGAAGGGAACATAACTGAGAACAGAGGACCTGTCAGAAAATACTCTACTTCTCTAGGCAGGTGATAATTGAAGTCTGCATCAGAAAGGATGTAGTGGAAATAGTGTTGTTTGTCGTCCATTCTCAAAGATCACAGTGACATATGGCCTCACCTCCCTGATGTCATGGTGGTGGAACTATACAGTAGAGGAATGGGTATGTGAAAAAGGTGTTGCACACATAGAAAAAAGATTTGTAAACTGGCTGGAAATCCTCAAGTCCCCCATCATCCAGGGAAGCAGCTTCTATCAAGATGGGACAAGTCGTCTCCACCAAGTGCCAACCAACTGACACTTCCAAGGCAAGCAAGCCAGTATAACTAAAGCAGGAAGGCACCTGGAGAGAGAGGTAGAAGGTGGTATGTGCCAGGGGAATCAAGTCACCCCAGAACTTCCAACACAACCTCCCATGAGACTCTGATGAAAATAGCCAAGGATGCTGAACCCAAGGCCCTAGGAATATCACTGTCTCCTAGAACACTGATCCTGCTTTAGCACAGGTCCTGAAGCCAGAAATGAGAGGAGCCATCATTGTAGAGGAAGGGGCCACCTTCCTCACCACCACCACCAGCTCACCAACTGCCACTAAGGGACCAGTCAGGCCAGAACCCATAGAGTGAAAAAAACTCTCTAGACCAACCTGGCCGACTTCCAAGCCCAGCCTCTGAAGCCATCATCCCAGATACCAACCCAGGAAGGAGATGGGACCTGTCCACTACTTCTCCAGGTACTAAAGCCCCATCTCTTCAGTAATCACACTTGCTTAAGAGCCAGACAAGAAAGTTCTCCCCACCAAAGGTCTTGGCACTACGAAATGGCCCAACAGTATAAATGGACACTAATGTATGTATCAGCCTGGATCTTTATACAACAGGGAACAAGAGGCACAATGCTTTCTTGTTGCTGTTTTTCCATTTGTTGATATCACTGTTTTCCATGATAAAGCATTCAGAGACGCAAGTAGATGTTTGATATACAGTTGACATTTGAAAGTGAGAGTTCATCCTTTCCAGGGGGAATTGGGAGAAGAGCTCATCTAACTACCTCACATTCATTGTTTACTTTGCTCAAACTGGTGAGGAGAGACAGCTTGTTACCACAGATGAGTCTTGGGTATGGAGTCAGAAAGGCGAGTTCTAACACAAACCAATGTGAGATCATGGGCAAGTCACTGAAACCTCTCTGAGACTCAGTTTCCTAATATGTCAAAGTAGGTGATGTTATCTACTGTACAAAGTTGTAGCAGAGTTACATAGTGTTCCATACAGGGTGTCCCAAAAGTCTTGATGCAGTTTTACACATAGCTTTGGGGACAACTTAAAAGAAAATTAAAGCCTCATATAATCATTGGTTGGTTGTATTTGGTCCATGCCTGCCAAGAAGTAGCTTGCTCATTTTCTAGTGTATGGCAGTCTACCTGAATGCCACTTTACCATTCACAAAACCCTAAGCTTCTTCTTGGAGGAGAGAGATTTGGATCTTATTGAAACCATGGTCCGAATGTACACTGCCAGCCGTATAGTAAAAAAAAAACTGGGTAACATGTTCTGGGATACCCACTAATCAGCATATTTTCTGTCACATTTACTGAGCAAGAATTTCCCCTAAAAACTCTGTTTGTAAACGATCCACACACCTCTGTCTGAAGAGTCTTCTTGCCTTTCCCCAGCATGGTCCTTATGAACTGGGTTGGCCGTTCTTTTGAAAGGCACATGGGGCATAGAGGAAATTGCTTCAAGGGGTGAATCAAAAGGAGACTGAAAAGAGAAATTGCAGCCTATGTGCATGAGCCTTTACCACCAGCCTTATGGATAGAACTAAAGAAGACCACCCCACTGCAGTCACTCAAATGGGTAACAAGTAACACCAAGATTCTTCCCTACTAATCTAGCATTAGTCCTTAGACATATTAATGGTCCCCAATAAACAGTGCTACCATGACTGTCAGCAAAGGGTCTTTACCTCCTTTTTGAGAAACGAGATGAAATGTTATTCTTGTGTATACATAGTTGTTTGCTTGTTTCCTCCTCCATTAGAACTGGGAGCTCCTTGAGGGCAGAGGACTGTCTTTTCCCTTTCTTTGAATCCCCCATGCTTAGCACAGTGACTGACACATACCTGGCATTTAATAAATGCTGGTTAAGTTGACAGGAAAGTGAGTGTGCCTATCTAGACAGACCTATTGGGGTACAAGGACCATGAAAATTTATTTCAGAGAGAGAGAGAGAGAGAGAGAGAGAGAGAGAGAGAGAGAGAGAGAGAGAGAGAGAGAGAGAGAGAGAGAGAGAGAGACAGAGAGTAAGAGAGAAGAGAATGAGAGAGAAAGAGAGAGAAGAGAAGAAGAAAGAGAGAGAGAGAGAGAAAGAGAGGAAGGAAAGAAGGAAGGAGGAAAAAGGAAAAAGGAGGAAGGAAGGAAGGAAGGAAGGAAGGAAGGAAGGAAGGAAGGAAGGAAGGAAGGAAGGAAGGAAGGAAGGAAATATGGAAGGCTCTCCCTGTACTCTGAGTTCCTAAGACGTTGGCCTCTTTATTGTTCCTCAAAGCAGAAACTCTACCTCTCAATTCTACGCATTTTCGCTGGTTGTACCAGTGAATCCTCTCCCTCTTCATAGCCATTTCTTGTTTTCCTGGCTTCCTTAAAGTTCTACCTAAAATCCCACCTTCAATAAGACATTCCTGTAAGTTCTTAATTCTAGTGCCTTCCCTCTGTTAATAGCTGGTTTTTATATCAATAAGAGCAGAGAGAAGAGAGGGAGAGAAAGAAGGGAAGAAAGAGACAGAGAGAAGGAAAGAGAAAAGAGAAAAATGTTTCATCTATAACACTGAACAAATGACACTGAAAAGTGGAACTTTTGGGAATTTAGAGATCACCATTTTGTGGACAAAGAAAAAGTCACACAGTAGCAGAACTGGGATTCTAAACTGGGTCTCCTAAGACTAAGACTGAGTAGTATACTTTCCTCTGTATTATGACGCCTCCAAATGAAGAATCATTCAAAAACTTTGAATTATTGAGGAGCTAAGAGAGGATTAAATCAAATTCCTATCTCACGCATGAATGCCTTCAACAATAATGTTGTCAAGGGATCATCTACACTTTGCCTGAAGATTTCTAGTGACAGGGAGCTCACTACCTCAAAGGTAGCCCATTCTTCTTTTGAAAGTTCTAATTGTCATGAAGTTTCTCTTTGTACTAGATCAGAATATGTCACCTTGTGGCTTCCTAATTCTTCCCTTTGGCATTAAGTAGGACACCAGTTTCTGATGACAATCCTTTAAATATTTAAATTAGCTAAAAATATCTCTCCTAAATTATCTGTTTTTCAAGCAAACATTCAAAGTCACACAGGAAGTTCTTAACAGTGCCAGGATTTAAACCTCAATCTTCTTGAATCTTAATCTAATCCTTTTTCAAGGCATAGGGAATAAAAGCTGTGTGTTATCTCTTCCTGGTGGCTTGGACTAATACTGGATGATCCTTCTTCTAGTACAATCCTAGATTATATAAAAGAATTAGAACAATTTACATTGACTTATATTTTTTTATAAATGAACATGTACGTACAGTTTCTCTGATTTACTAGTAACCATAGAGTACAATGGTCACTGACCTTTCTCTTAAGAGGGTGAGGAGTAGAGTTAACATTTTCAGCATTTTTCTCCCTTTTTCCTTGCTTCTTGTCAAAGGGACATTTTGTAATGAGTTCTAGACCATTCTGTTTGGAATATGAGTCATGAAATATATTCATGACTTTAATGAATCAGTATTAACTGACTATTTCTACAGTTGTGGGAAGCCATAAAACACACCGTAAGTACTGAAATAAAATTAAATCTATTTTAGTTTCCATTAGAAGAAAATCTTTCATTTTTAATTTCTTCAGAGTTGCTAGGGGCTAGGATTCAAGTCTAGTGAGTTTTCCTGGAAAATGTGAAGAAAAGGATTTGTGAAACCTATAGCCGCATTAATTATGGGGAGATAGACATCCAACAGAATTTTTTTTTCTTTTTCATTGACAGCATATGCTAAAACCCCAAGCAAGTTTGCACGGTGGCATACATTATAAGAGTGTGAAAAGTAGATGGAAAAAAATTCAGAGTACCTGATCCACCACTGCACTGTTATTCCTAGATGAATGTGAAAAGAAAGGCCTAATTTTTCCAATTAGTATCTGACATAGCCCTTTTCTTTGGTTAGTAACAGACTTTCTTGTGTCTGGTTGGTTTGAAAATTCATCTTCCATTCCAGACATAACAGGAAGGATGCTCTGGATGATACAGCTGGTTCTGCATGGAGACAATATATATGTCAATGGGAAGGAGGCCACAAGGTCCATGTAGAGTCCACAAAATTTCCTCAGAAAGGTTCCACTGCAATCTCTTTCTTGCTATTTAGCAAGTTCTCCTAGGAGCTCCCTCAATGGAACTGTGCAACCTGGCCTGCTTGGAGCCAAGAAGGTGGGTTTTGCTTCTAAAAAGCATCTTCTAAAAAGATGACAAAAATACAGTGTTTAGATTGTAACTGTTGCAGTACCTTGTATTTATACATACATAAGTATGTATATGTGTATGTGTGTATATATATATATATATGTACCTATGAACATATATATGTGTATATATATATTTACCTATGTACTTATATATGTACATATGTATATATAGCCACCTAGTGGTGCATATATTAGAATATATAAATAACACATGAATTTCATATATATATATATATATATACATATATATGTATGAATTATTACATTAACCTATACAATTTGGTTATAGGAATTGATTTTTGTTCATCCTTCATTCTAGAAGAGGACCGCTGATTTGGGGGGTGATATTTTGATGTGCAAGTGAATTGGATTTAAGGAAGACAGAGCTGTGCAAAGTCATCAGCCCAACCCTCTGCACCACAGTCATCAGAGTTCTGAGCAACACATAGGTCAGGACCACTGGAGGCAGCACCAGATGGAGTAAAAGACCTTGACCTTTCTAAGCTAAGATCCTTCCCAAGTTTCAGTTTCTCTGAGGCACCACCCATTCAGTGATTAAGTTTGGTAAGCAATGAGGCAAAAGATGGCCTACTGTGCCTTCACAAAAGAATGCATATGAAGGTGGAAGACCTTCAGAATTTCTGGCCAGAACAAAAGGTGCCTTTTAAGTGAGGATAGGCCTGTACAGCTAAAACAAGTGATATCTGAAAGAAGTGACATCAGTCATTTATATCTTTGTTCAAAGTGATCAGTTCCTAAGAACAAAATCTGCCAGTCTTGCAAAATTTCCTGGATGAGAAGGGACAAATGTATAATTCAATCTGGGGATTGCATAATACATAAACAGGGATTGTGTCTAGGAGGGCACACTTGAGTGAGAAGCTTAATGACAATCCCTTAGGTGGTAGAGAGCCACGAGGCATCCCCTTCAAGAGGAAGGAAGGTGACAAAAAATGTAGGTGAGGGGAAACGTCAAAAACGTGAGAGTTCTTGAAGACAAGCTTTATATCCTTCACTTAGCATGGGCTCATCCCTGTTTAAAATGTATCCATGTGTCAGCACCACATGTAATTCAGTATAGGATTGTTCCAACTGGGCTTTCCATTATAACTCAGTGTGTGCTGGTCTCTTTGGGATCATTCCAAGAAAGATTCTTTGCTCTGAGTGTTATTCAACATGGTTATACTTGATTGAGGTAAAATGGTGAAATATTTAACTTTGTTTGTCTTTACTGGGACTGACCCTGAAGAGGGCAAAAGAATGGATTTAACAGGCCAGGTATCCCTAGGAAATTTGGTGCTGTAATTCAGCAATCTACATTTTTAGTGTCCTCCATTTTCCTTTTCAGCATTCTCCTGGGGGTGGGGGTGAGGTGGCCAGTGCCCCAAAATGCCCCCAACCCTCATTGCCACATACCACTTTGTCCTACCCTGTCCAAATCATCTCCTCTCCAACCTTCAATCAAAGCCTAGCTCAAGCCCATAGATTCTAACACATCCCTACTATATCCTAGAAGAATGCTATATTATCCTAATGACTATTAATGTAATACTGTCCTTAGCCTAAGGAATTTGCAAGACGAATGCAACAGAGATGATTCTAGCACTGTATAGTGAGTGAAGGGTAAGAGTGGGTGATTCACTGAGACTACTGATGACTTTTTGCACACGATATTCATTATTCTCAGTAACATCTTTAAAAAAAGTATACATATATATTTGTATACATACATATATATATCTATCTCTATATGTTTGTTTAATGTACTTAGCTCCACATGCTGAATACAACAAAAAGATGTGAATACACACACATTACAGCTTGAAACAAATTGGGATGTGACATGACCTCTCAGAAGTGAAGCCTCCTCGGAGGGTCAATAGTTCTTGTTAATAAGTCCCTATATTGCTTTCAAAACCCTCCCCCGCTCAGACCCTGTTTCTAAGCAAACAAAAATAACTGCCCTTCCCCCAACCTGAACTGCTTGCTCTTGGGAAACTTCCAGCCTTTCCTTGTCTCCAGGCAAGTTTGTGAAACTGGTTTCTGTTCTCTGTTGCTGGGTAGATTTCCTCAAATAGATTGTGTCTTCAAGGCTTGCATCAATGGGCTGAGAGGAAGGGGGAGTGGGGTTAGGGGTCTCTATAATCTTTCTTGCTAAGCACACTCTTGCACTCTTCCACCAGAGCCATTTTAGGCAGAGGGAGGGTGCCCTTTCTTGAGAAAGCTAATAAAGAAATCTTTCTCTTTGCTACATCTGAGTCTCCGAATTTATTGGTAAGGGTCTTCACGTCCCACATAGTTGTGGGAAATCCTCCGGGATTTCACCCCCTTTTTGGGGACTCCCTTAATTCAGGGGCAGGCGATGCCAGACTTTACTGGTGGCCTCCAGGTCTCAGCTGAGGAGGGAAAAGCCCGAAGGGAAATCTCAGAGTAGCAAAATGAAAGTTCTGCAGCACTGGTAACTAGAAGACCACCATGGCCACCCATGTGAAGTGAAGGAAATTTTCAGTCATGTAAGTCTGTGAGCACAGACCCAGGTCTGAGAAGGCTTGGAACCCAGCGGGGATGCCCGTAAGGTGTGGCAAGCCCAGACCGGCAACCCTCTGGGTAACCAGGTTTCCCAGAGTCTAAGCAGAGAGGTCCATAACACATGGAGAGAATTGAAGTCCCCTGAGGATGTGAGGGATGGCTCACAGTGAAGTTCCCTCATTAGTATCTCCCTGCTACACTCCTAGCTCTCTCCTGCACTCTACCTGAGTGTGAGAGATGGCCTGCAGTGCAGTTCCCACAGGCCTAAGTTTCCTTCCTCCAGAAAGCCTTGAGTTCAGTTTGCATTTTCCCCAAAAGTTTCTATTTCTCCAGCACCAGGTCAGCATGGGTGGGGGAGCTTGGTTGCCTGGTTGCTCCTAGCTCCTAGTGCACATGTGCATCTAGTCCAAACACAGGCATATTTGCTTCTATTGGGTATTAGTTGCTACTTTTAGAATGTACACCCTGAGTACCCAGTCAAAGGAGAAAGGGGTAAGAGAGTGAGAGGGGGCATCGCGTTAGGGGATAAAAAGCCCAGGGTACCGCTCCCAACTCATACTCTCCTGGCTGGCAATGGTGACTAGTGGCGGTACCCTTTCTCATGAGAAAGCAATAAACTCCTTTCTGCTTTCAAGGTATCTTTCAAGTCTTTGTTTTTATTTTGAGTGGGTGGTCTCTGTCCCACACAGTTGGGGGCTCTCTGGGATCCCCTTTACTTGGGAAAGGGCCTCCCAGCCAGTCCTAGGACAGGCCCCCACTGGCCACTTACCAGTAGTCTGTGGAGTGGTTTGGGAGTTTCCTTTCCCTTTTAAGGAATGGACCCGAAGAAAGACAGATACCTGCAAGCAGAAACAAAAGCAAACAGAGTTCCAACGGTGCTAGCAAAGACAGTAGACAGAGAGAAGAGAGAGAACTGAGTTTTGGACAGTCACATAAGTTGTGCGCACATAACCCAGACGAAAGATCCAGGGAGCCCTGAGATACTTTTTGGAGCAAGATCTGGTGAGCATCTGGGTGACCAGGGAGGGGGCAGGGAAGGTCTTGGTACCTGTGCCTCCACATCGAGTGAGTCCTTGGGGAAGGACAAGAACTTGTTAAACATGGGAAAAGAACAGTCCAAAACAGCTAGCAGAGAGAATTTTCCTAGCATTCCAGAAGATAGCCCTCCTGGGAGTAGACTCCAGAATTGGAACGAGTCATCAAAATATAAAGGGAAAGACAAGAGAAAAGAAACCTGATGAAATATCGCTGCTTAGTTTGGGCTGGCGATGCCTAAATTGTGCAGGGATTTCTAACAATTCTCTCCGAGCTTTTGGATTCTCCCTGTCATTTTCTGTCTGTATCTGTTTCTGTGTTTGTGTCTGTGTGGTGTGAGTGAGTGTCCTGTGTAACTTGATGCCCTTTGCAGCCAGGTAGCATCCCAAGGCTGCAGCTGGACTATGTGCAGTTTTAAAGGGATTTTAATCAAAGTCCCTCAGAGAGATAAGTAGGTAGAAGGAAAGGTAAGAAAGTTTAAGCATGTAGGAGAGAAGAGTATGTGTAGAAAGTTTAAGGAAGGCATAATTTATTTGTACAGCATGAATAGAGGTTTGGAAAGTAAAAGGTTTAGAAACTCTTGAAGAGTTGTTGGACAATATTCTCTTCCTCTCTCCCGCATTCCAACTTTGACCAAGTTGTTGAATGTAGAAGAGAGAAAGATAAGGAGGAAAGGAGGGCGAATCTTTCCCCCTCAGATCAAAGGGAGGCAGGCTAAATAAGCCTTTAACTGTTCTCTGCCTTACCTAAAAGAGAAAAGTTTTTGTGTAATAGGACCCAACCAGAAAGAAATTGAATTCATTCTGGTTGTATTTTTAAAAAAAGTATGAAAAATGTAATGTGTCACTCCTAATTCAATTCTTAAGATATGTTAGAATTTATTTTACTATTTGGCACTAAAGTAAGTAGTAAACAAAAATCTTGAGCAGGCAGCTTAGAGTGAAAGGCTGATAGACTAATTTAAAAACCAACAGACAAAGTTATGGAGAGATGGAAGGAATTATGTCCACCCACCTTTTGGGTGGGTTCCATTAAAGTTATGGAGAGATGGAAGGAATTATGTCCACCCACCTTTTGGGTGGGTTCCATTAAATCTAATATGGATACTGGCTATGGTAAAGATATTGGTTATTGTGAGTTATGATTATTACTGTTCAATTAATTATCAAGCTCCAGAGGAGTCTTCCTGGAGGGAAAGCTGATCGTACTTTGTCAGCATCGATTCAAATTCTTTAAGCTTGCTTTTCTTTCTCCTGGGCCAAAAAGAAGTAGTTAGATCACTGGCCCAGCACATTTTAAACTGACTGATTACAACAGGTGATTCCATAATGTTTGTAAAACTTTTGCAAGACAATGTGGACATGAATACGGAACTGAAATATTGAAGCAATATATGAATTTGTGGATAATATTCCTTTATAAAGGGACAAGGGTACTGAACTGAGAAATGTATAGTTGTATACTTTTAAAAGTACATATTGCTATTTGGCATTAAGAAATTTATTAACTATATGGCCCCAAGAAAGTTCTATTGACTTTAGTTTACTGTTCAGTAAGGGATGGTGGTGGAATTCATTCCCAAGGATATTACAAAGATCACATGATTGTAAAGGTGCTTGGCACAATGCTTGGCATAAAACAAATGCTATCTGAATGTAAACTGTTTTTAGTTAAATATAATTGCTTCACATTCATTAACTTTATGTGGATTTTCTTCTGTGTGAAGTTTATGTCAATGGTGATGAAATGAATGATTCTCTGTCTAAGGCAATTTGGGAACACATCCAATTCTTGTAGAGCCACCAGAGTGGTAATTAATTAGTTTTGGTTTTAAAGTTTAAATAGATGATAGTTGTTTATGGTATTGTTGTATTTCTAAAATTTTCCTTTATTGCATAATTTGGGAAACAACTGTATCATCTGTATTGTCGGAAAAGCAATTTCTCTTATAATCTAAGTGTTGTTACGTTAAGAACTGTACTGTAAAAAAAATGATGAATGGGTTAGGAAACTTTTAAATCATTCTCTTTAACAATGTACTATAGTATTTTGAAGTATTGTAATTTAAGAAATCATAAAATTTCCAAATTTTGTCTTTATTTAAAGGGAATTTTCAGTTAAAATCATTTTACTATCATTTATGAAATTTGTGAGATTGTTAACTAAGTTATTTGGGGTTACTGTTTTAATGCTAAAACCTAAAAGGGTTAATTAATTACTGTATGTGAAAAGAAGGGGACTGTGTAAAGCCTTATCAGCTTGGTTCTGCCCATTCAAGGGCACCAGTATCAGCCCTCTCTGAGGTCCATGTCAATTCTCCTTATTTTGTAAACTTACCAAGGTCCCTAGAAACCATCTGTGTGGGCAAGGTCATCTGCCCTGAGAAAAGAACTTGTTAGGATTCTGCAGTTCCTAAACAATGAACTTGGCATGCTAAGAATTT